CACTTCATATGTTACATATGACATTGTTTTATCTTACTAATAAGGTCTTTGTTAAATCAACCTCCTGCAAGACTACATCATATGACATTGTTTTATCTTACTAATAAGGTCTTTCTCAGGAGGTTGATTTAACCAGGAGGTTGATTTAACAAAGACCTTATTAGTAAGATAAAACAATGTCATATGTAACATATGAAGTGCTGACTTAGCTTGGAACAACATTAGCTCTACCACCAATTCCTGGTGTAACACCAAGCAAGTTTTGACCTGAAGTGCTGGCTTAGCTTGGAACTACATTAGCTCTACCAACACTTCCTGGTGTAACACCAAGCAAGTTTTGACCTGAAGTGCTGGCTTAGCTTGGAACTACATTAGCTCTACCACCAAGCAAGTTTTGATCTGAAGTGCTGACTTAGCTTGGAACTACATTAGCTCTACCAACACTAACTGGTGTAACATCAAGCAAGTTTTGACCTGAAGTGCTGACTTAGCTTGGAACTACATTAGTTCTACCAATTAGTTTCTTTATCAAAGAAAGGACAATTCTTTTCATATGTATATTTCTACATATGCTCATTAGGTCAGGCGTTGTGATGATGGAACTAAAATGTTTTCTACTGTACAAGTTATATACAAAAGTGTACACATCTTCACTAACCTCGACTACACATGATAACCTAACACACAACCCGTATACTTTTAATAGGGTAATGACAGACAAATGATGATAAAATGTTAAAGGATTTATCTGAATAAATATGTGTATATATATTATTTTCACATTTCTGAAGGGTTATATCCATGATATCTACATGATGGTCTTGTGTTCCCGACTACCTTTAATAAATGACGAGAAGTTCCTTGAAGACCAGGAGGATATCTACTGAACTGGGAAACAGTCAAGGCTAAAACAAAGTTATTGCAAAACATGGTGTCCTCAGTATCAAGATATGATTTATTGATTCTCATAGACATATTCATCTCTACAAAATAAGTGATTTAAAGTCATATTTGGGTATAAAAAGATATTATGCATATGAACTCACAATAACATAGGCACAACATAACAGTTTCGATGTTTAATTTTGCAACACCCATAAAACCCAAGTTTCAAGAATAAAGTAAAAACCCTTCTTTAACAGTAACAAATAAAGAAACCTTAATAAAAATGAATACCATACGAAACATTGTAAATTAACATTTTTTTTTTCTATCTCAAGAGGTAGTAAATAATTGATTTTTTTATATTGCAAGCATTGAGAGATATAGACTGAAAATGAAACGTCAAAATTTTTTTTATTTTGTCAGCCATGACCAAAACATAGCGTACGTACAGCTCATAATAATTTGGAATATAAAATATTTCCCAAAAAACTATTTCTACTTCCAAGAATATTTCAATGAAGAAGTAGCCTGAGACCTTAGGTCAACTTGGTGAAACATAGTGTAGTTATATACTACTGATAAACTCGAAGTTGGTGCCATCCACGGTGTTACTATTACCTCACTATTTCTACTTCCAAGAATATTTCAATGAAGAAGTAGCCTGAGACCTTAGGTCAACTTGGTGAAACATAGTGTAGTTATATACTACTGATAAACTCGAAGTTGGTGCCATCCACGGTGTTACTATTACCTCACTATTTCTACTTCCAAGAATATTTCAATTTTAATACACAGTAATTGAACCAAACACTAGAAAGCACAAGTTTAACTACAGCTTCACGTATACAAGGTGGGAACTATCCTAATATGATTTCCCATCTACAACAGAGGCTGCTTTATTATCTACATACATCTTGCTAATTAACTCCAGACCTGGTGTATCAAGCCTGACAAACATTAAATTCACACTACTTATAATGTAAAGATCATTAAACATAAATCACCCGTAACATTATGCTACAAACTTAACATTATAATTTTTTATTATTCATACCCAATGATAACTAATGTGAGGTTAGTCTGACAGGACCTTCAATTCTTCAGACTATTTCTAGAGTTGTCATGATTTGATCTATAGTTTAATACCGGATCAAGTTTACACGTGATCTTTGATTAAAACACCTCAAAACTCTGACTGAAAAATATGCAGATAAAAAGTGTCCTTAAAATACATTAAAGTTACGACAAAGTGGACATCTAGTGGTTAAACAGTTTAAAAATAGGCAGTGTGACAGCTGCTGATAAGTGACACAAAGTTTGTAACTGCATTTTTGGTTTCACAAAAGCAAAATTGGTCCCTTAAAAATACATCACGAAAAATAAAACTTGTCATCTCTAGAAAACAAAATGCTACTTAACATTGTTGTTTTTTGTATATTATTTCACAAATTTTTAAACCAGGATAATTATTGTCACTGTACTTTATAAATTTTGTTTCTTACCCTAAACAAACAAAAATATATCTTGTACTAAACTTCTGAGCCAATTCTTTTAAAACTGGAATATTTGTCATCATGTCTAGTTTCAAGTCCACAAGTTTTCTGTCACAACATCTTTCTATTTAAAAGTCCGTAATCTGATAACTTGAGAACTAAGTAACAAGCCAATGTTTGGAGTAGTACAAAAAAGAAATGATATTTAAAAATATCACTATTTTACATCTATAGTGCTCCATATTTTGTTAGAATCAATATTTTTTATTTATTAAAAATGTTTTATAATAAAACTAATACTAGCTCATGTGACAGTTTCTGTTCTATTATAGCATTTCAAAAAACTTGTATTGTTAATTACTAGTTACACTAAGATGGCATTATTTATCCAATATGGCAGCTATCTGGGTAGCAAAATTCGTATTTTTTGAGAATGCTAGAATGTTCACTAAATCTGATAAAGGCTGGCTTCGAGTTTTTTAGTGTTTAATTTAGTGGATGGGGGCCTAGATGATTTATTTATTTAGAGTTAAGCTTGGTAGGATTATTATTTCAAATTAATATTTATATTTAGAAACTATCAGACAACATACTTATGAAGAAGTTGCTTTAAAAAAACAACTTGACCAAAAAACGAAAATCATACACAGACTTGTTAGTACAGTTCTCCCGCAGTTTTTACCAGCACCAGTACCTGATGCACAGAACACGATCTGTTGTCCTGTTTTATTCTACGTGATGTAAAAAAATGTATACTTTAATATTTGTAGGCACAAGCGTACAAGGTTTTCAGTGTATTTCACATACAATATGGCGAGTTGTTTTTTTCAAATTTGGTAACAACATGAAAATTTGAACACTTACTAGTTAACTTTTAAAAAATAAGATAAACCTTGTTTTCGTTACATAAATGTAACATAAAAAAGAATCAAGTTGTCCGTAAAAAAAGTAAAAAAAATATAAAAAGCAAAATTCTCATTACATATAATCTCATACTATTAGATAAGTATATCTGATTGTCCAGACAAAATATTTACTGCATAACCCTTAACGCTCCAACTCAAACATAACCCGGGCAAAAATATAATCTAGCATAACCCTTAACGTTCCAACTCAAACATAACCCGGGCAACAATATAATCTAGCATAACCCTTAACATTCCAACTCAAACATAACCCGGGCAACAATATAATCTAGCATAACCCTTAACATTCCAACTCAAACATAACCCGGGCAACAATATAATCTAGTATAACCCTTAACGTTCCAACTCAAACATAACCCGGGCAACAATATAATCTAGCATAACCCTTAACGTTCCAACTCAAACATAACCCAGGCAACAATAAAATCTACTGTCTCTGTTGAAGAATTTTAAAAATTTCTTGACACTCTATTTCAGCAATTCTTCTGTACTGTTCCACTTCTTCTAACATCTGAAAAAAAACAACAACAACAATAAAACTGTAAATACATAAGGGAAAACAGTTTTTATTCTTAGGAGAAATATAATTCAAAATTCCATACTTAACACAACTCTTTTTCTTCATACATGTTTCCGTTTCAACATCAAGCCATGCTCTATCCACTGTGGGGAATTAAACTCAGTATTCTATTATTGTAAACTTACCATTCACACACCAGGTAGAGTTTTCTTGTCATAGTGTACAGTATTCTATACATTATCACTTCTATTGTTTTCTACTTTTTTTTTACGGTATTCTGTGTTGTTCATTATGTAAGGCTCGCGAAATGTGTCAAGAGTTAGCTCCAACAAAAAGAACTAGACACAAGATATCAACATGATGATAGCCCAGTTTTTATTAAAGTACTTTTTTGAATTTTATCTATTTGTTTGTTTTAGAATTTTCCTGCAAAGATACACAAATGGCTATGTGAATATGGCCATTTCTAATCTTGAACTGACAACTGGAGAATAGGTAGCTGATCAATGGCACTCACTGCTAACTCTTCAGCACACCAACTGGATGTAAACCATGGGCCCTCGACTTTGAAGTCTGGACACGTTAACCATAAGGCAAGCCCCCTCCCCTACTTATGATTATATCTATTTGTACATCTAACCTTCTCTCACACAAAGCGATTTCAATCTTCTTTCTGCTCCTAAGCAGTGCATTGGTCTATATACCCAACAAATTTCACACCACTTTTGAACGTGTATAGAGCATGTGACCACTCTCCACCAATAGTATTTCACCACCTATGTTGGTGCAGCTAGCACACTCTGATTTTTCCCACTCAATCCTCAGTTTTGAGAACTGGTAGGATCTAAAATGAATAACACCAGCAGTGAGGAGTAAGGGTTAGAAGTGTAGAAATGGAGATAAATACCTATGAGAAATACATTTTCAGTGTGAGAACATGTTAACTTCTGATATGGTCTTACCTCACACAAAAGGTGCATAATAGTGAAACGAAGCAGAAAGCAGCCACCTCGAAATAACTGATGTGCTCAAAGATAAATTTGAAGCACACATGCGGGCCACAAGACTACTGCAACAGGTATGCTCTTCATCCCATAAGAAGGAAACGAACCTGACACGATCAGGAAAAAAGGAGTGCACAAACCTAATTTTTTCCGAGTTTAAGTAGCCTACTTTGTTATTAATTAGTAAATATTTAAGAAGGCTTACATTAAACGAGAGGTTTTCACACAACTTAGAAATTTCTTGTACAAAGATATCTTAGAAATCTGAAATATTAGGTTATCAAGAAATTAATGTCGCTTTTTTTTAGATGAAAAAAACTGAACAACTTATATATCAAAACAAAACATTTATTGAATGAAATAGTCTCC